ACAAGTGCGGCCGAAACTTCGAAGTGGGCGGGGCTTGCACCAAATTGGGCGGGGCTTAGATCAAAATTTCATATCTCTGTTCAGAAAAGTTCTAGAACGCACGAAAAAAAGTGGTAGGAGGAATTGGAACAAATGTAGTTAAGTCCTCGAAGGGGGCGGAGCTGGCACATGGAAGCGGGGCTAGGACCAAAAACTCATATCTTCAAAAACTTTCTGGAATGCGGAAAAAATGGTTTGGAGCAGTCAAAAGAAGGGTGGTCAAGTTTATTGTGGGAAGGGTTTGCACTAAGGTGGACGGAGCTATGATCAACCACTAATAACTCTGCTCAGATATATCGATCGTGATGCTCTCAGCAGTTCAGCTTTCGAATCTAGAGAGAACTATCTTATACTGATTATCCAACATTCCGCTGAATAACTCCATCGTGGATAAGTGGCCGTCGACATATACTGCGCGCGTTAGCGTGCATAGCCGAACTGGTATTTAATTATATGCGACCAAAAATGAACAAAATCTCTCGGATCACTCCGGCCCGCGACAGGGACGAGTAGAGACGTTACTGGCGCCCGCTTGAGGAAATCGATAATCAACGGGACAACGAGTAATAAAGGTGATCCCTTTGTCGTCCTGACGGAACCGATACAGGTGATATGTAAAGGGGATCGGTTAAAAAGTACAAATTCTAGGTATGAAGCAGAGTTAGGTAAGCTAGCAGAGGGTCCAGTTGAACAGAGATTCGTTGTGTTTCATGCTTTCGACTATCTTTGGCTTCCAACGGAATCCAAAGCCGTGGCATCTGATCAAACACAAATACGATCAGTCCTGAAAGGATCACTTTTGACCCCCCCCCCCTTTCCACAGTTCATCTTAGGGTCACTTCGTAAACGATTTGCTGAAAAATGCCCTTTCCAATGACCAGAATCAGGGTCAAGTACGTGAATTTAGTGGGTAATGGATGGATGATACGTAGCTCTCACTCACATTATGTTTGCCTATGTAATCTCATTTCTGGCATCGGCAGACGTTCGGCGAAACTTGATTTTCCGTCCGGCCACAATATACGCATGTATTGATCGCTGGCTGTGTCCATCATCAACTTCAGTCTATGATGCCTGAGCTCGATTTATTTGTTTTTCCCCATCCCCACAGAATTTCGGTTCCCTTATTGACTGAGTA